TTTTTAGGTAAGTAATCGGGGATGTCAGGTTTGTTGACTCCCTTAGTAGGAAATATGTAAGGATTTATTGATTTTCTAATATAATGTGTTTATGAGATATCATTTTGATTTAAATTAACTGTACAAATTTTCAGCGATTTCTTGATCAAGTGTTCTGAGCTCGGTATGGATTTTAAAATGAATCATCACAATTCGGTTCCGTTTATATGATTAACCGAATTGTGGTTTTTTATGAAAATAATTTCCGAACTCCACTTTGATTTTTTGTAATGATTTCAGCCACAAGTGCAAGTCGATATGCGAATTTTCAAATAATTCACGAAACTTAACACATTCTTGGGGCTGTACGTAAAACAAAATAGAATTCACCGAACTTCGTCAGAGTTCGGTTATGGAATGGCCCCAACCGATTGACATCTTTTATATTTGGTAATTTTCGGGACCCGTCAAATCATGTTTGTTGAAATGACGTTTGACGAGCATCACCCTCATCCGACATATGTGTAGGATTCGGATATATTATGGGGTATCAGCAAGACCGAGTGTCGCAATGCTTACATCGGTACAAGATATTCGTAGAACCGAGTTTCAAAATGTTTACATCGGTATCGACCTGCTGCTCGGATTTTCAAAAGCGAAAGCCGATGGGCCTTCAGTACATCAAAAGAGTTACTTCGTACATTCAGTGAAGCAAAAAAGAGGGATCCGTGCAAAAGAAGGGTCGGCTATCCGACTTCGGACCGTTCATTGATAGAACTTCTTTAGGAAAACAGCATTCCATGGATATTGATGCGGAGTTCCGTCAGGGTGAGCGATTCGGTAGGCTCCATGAGGTAGGACTTCAATTACTTGAAAAGGTCCTCCACCTCGGTTTGAGTGGGCCGGGGTCCGGCCCATTATGCGTTTAAGGACCAAATCTCCAACTCGGAATGAACGAGGCTTAAGCTTAGAATTGACATATCTTTCGCTTCTATTTTTGTAAGCGGCATTTCTGAGTTCAGCACGGGTGCGATGTTCATCGAGCAGGTCCAAATTAGCTTTCAGGTTTTCCGAGTTGGACTCCTCGGTAAAATGTTGAACTCGGTACGTCGGTTCACCGAGCTCGACTAGGAACACGGCTTCTGAGCCGTAGGTTAGGGAAAATGGGGTCTCGCCGGTAGAAGTTCGAGTTGTAGTCCGGTAGGCCCATAGGACGTGTGGCAACTCTTCAGGCCAAGCTCCTTTGGCGGCGTCAAGTCAGACTTTGAGGCCGTTTTTTATGAGCTTGTTCACAGCTTCAACTTGCCCGTTGGATTGCGGATGATAAGGCGAAGAGAAAAAGTGCTTGATATTATATTCTTCGCACAGGGATTCAAATCGCTTGCCTTCGAATTGTCTACCGTTATCGGTAATGATGGAGTTCGGTACTCCGAAGCGGCAGATAATTGATTTCCATACGAAGTCAATGACTTTTTGCTCAGTTATCGTGACTAACGGTTCAGCTTCGGCCCACTTAGTGAAATAATCAACGGCTACAATGGCAAATCGGACGCCTCCTTTCCCGGTCGGCAGGGGACCTATGAGATCGATTCCCCATTTGGCAAAAGGCCATGGACTGTAGATTGATTTGAGCTCCTCGGGAGACTGGTGGATGTTGGGTGCGAACACTTGGAATTTCGGACACTTACGAACCCATGCAGCGGCGTCGGTTTTTAAGGTTGGCCAATAATAACCTTGTCGTAAAACTTTGTAAGATAAGGCCTGAGAACCGGGGTGACTTCCGCAAATTCCTTCATGGACTTCTTCTAGAATATATCGTGAATCAGATTCACTCACGCATTTTAAAAGTGGGACGGAATATCCTCTCTTAAACAAAGTTCCATTGTCCAATGTATACCGAGCCGCTCGAATCCGAAGTGTCCGAGCTTCTTTTGGATCCGGGGGCAAGGCCCCAATTTCTAAATAGTGGATAGTAAGATCCATCCAAGTTGGCGGCTTTTGTGATGTTACCGGATCGATAGCCGTGACTTCGGTAAATGCGGTCGACGGTCATTCTTGTTGTCCGACTTGGACATACTCTATGTTCTCCATTCCGGTACTCGTGGCCAGCCGGGACAAAGCGTCTGCTTGAACATTAAGAGTTCGGGGAATATGTTCAACGTCAACGGAGAACTTTGATAATTTTCGCTTTGTCAAAGAGAGATACGGTGTCAACCAAGGTTCTTTGACTTAATACGAACCGTTAATTTGGTTGACAAGGAGTTGGGAGTCTGAGAAGACTTTGAGGTGCTTTACGTTCATGGATTCAGCCAAATTTAGTCCGGATAGCAAGGCTTCGTATTCGGCTTCATTGTTTGTTGCCGGGAAAAGAAACATCACTGAGTGACAGAATAATCGGTTTTCCGGGTCCGCTAGGACTATTCCTGCACCTGCTCGGTTGACTGTCGAGGAACCGTCGATATAAAGAACCCACGTTTGATCGTCATGGTGAACTGTTATAGCCAGAGTGAATTCGGCAATGAAGTCGGATAAGGCTTGTGCCTTGATCGCGGTCCTCGGTTGGTAGTGGATGTCAAATTGTCCAAGTTCAATCGCCCATTTGATCATGCGCCCCGAGGTGTCAGGTCGGTGCAGGACTTGGCGCAACGAATACGAAGTGCGGACGGTTATAGTATGTTCTTGGAAATAAGGTCGTAATTTCCGGGCGGCAATTACGAGTGCAAACGCCAATTTTTTCATACGAGGGTAGCGCAGTTCGGCGTCATGTAGGGCTTTGCTAATGTAATAAACGGGCGATTGTAGCATTCCTTCTTCACATACCAAAACAGCGCTAATCGCAGAATCGCTGACTCCGAGGTATAAAAACAGCATTTCCTCGGGTCTTGGTTTTTGTAACGTTGGTGGAGAGGCAAGTGTCTCCTTGATGCTGATGAGAGCTTTTTGACATTCTTCGGTCCATTCAAAGCACTTTCTTTTTTTGATTGCTTCGAAGAAAGGTTTGCAACGGTCTGTGGATTTGGAGATGAACCGGTTGAGAGCATCAAGTCGGCCAGTTAGGGCCTGAACACCCTTAACCGAAGTCGGCGGAGTTAGGTCTTGAATGGCTTTTATCTTGGCCGGGTTGGCTTCAATTCCGCGCTGGCTGACAATATAGCCCAGAAACTTTCCTGATTTAACTCCGAAGGTGCATTTCTTGGGATTTAAGACCATGGAATAAGATCGGAGGACATCAAACATATCTTGAAGGTGTGTTATATGGTCAGAAGCGTGCACCGACTTGACGAGCATGTCGTCGACGTAAACTTCCATAGTATGATCAATCATCGTGGCAAACATTTTGTTGACAAGGCGTTGATAAGTGGCTCCGGCGTTTTTCAACCCAAACGGCATCATGGTATAGCAGTACAAGCCTCGTGCTGAATAAAACGAGGTGTGTTCGGAGTCCTCGGGATCCATAGGAATTTGATTATAACCAGAGTAAGCATCCATAAAACTCATTAATTCGTGTCCCGACGTGGCGTCAACCATGTAATCTATGTGTGGGAGTGGGTAACTGTCCTTGGGACACGCCTTGTTCAAGTCGGAAAAATCAATACACAGTCTCCACAGACCATTGCTCTTTTTGACAAGAACGGGGTTTGAAACCCATGTCGGATACGTGGCCTCTTTGATGAATTTGTTATCGATGAGTTTCTTAACTTCCTCTTCCAATGCTTTCTGGCGATCTGGCCCCAGCTTTCTTCATTTCTGAATAACAGGCCGGACAGTTCGATCGAGGTTTAACTTATGACTAGCGACACCGGGGTCGATGCCCTTCATATCTTCGTGTTTCCATGCAAAAACATCAGAATTGCGTTTAAGGAATGAAATAAGTTCTGACCGAAGAGGCTCTTGGAGATGACTCCCGATGCGCACCGATTTGTGGAAAATTGGTTCATCGATGTATATTAATTCTACTTCTTCTCCAAGTTCGGCTCGATCACTTCGGCTATTTTCTTTAAATTGGGCTCTTGGGTCCAACTCATCTTCTTCAAGGATAGGTTCCTTTCCAGGCCGGCGACCTCGGTCTTCGGTCAAAGGATCCGAGGTGAGAAAAGCACCGACGTTGTGGTTTGGTTCTTCGGACACCGCGTTGTCCGAGACGTTTCGTAGTGGAGAATTTTCGTTATTGCCCGTCGAGGTGGAATGGATTCCGCTGGGTGGTACGAATGTGATAAGTTCTGGAGCTTCTCTCTGGTCTCCGAAGTGCGTCCCTTCTCCTCGTGTAGTCGGGAACTTTAGTGCGTAGTGAAAGATCGAAACCGCAGCCCGAAGTTTGTACAACGCTGTTCTGCCAATAATGGCGTTGTACTCGTTGTTGATATCAAGAATTTTGAAAGTCTCCATGACGAGCTTAGTGACGTTCTCTGAAGTGCCAAATCTAATGGGTAAAGTGATCTCACCGATAGGCTTTGAAATGCTTCCGTTGAATCCTTGTATTTGGTCATTACAAGGTCGGATGTCGGCGGGATCAAGACCCATTTTGTCAAAAGCTTGTAACATTAAAATGCTCGAATAGGCCCCAGTATCTACCATTACGCGATGAACAGGAATTCCGCATATAGGGACAGTGATAACAAGTGCATCGGAATGAGGGTGTGCGAAGTGATTAGCATCCTCCATATTAAAAGTTATGGGACAGTTCCGATTGTTGAGGATGTCTCTCAAATCAGTAGTGTACACTTGTTTGCCGGAGTTGTACGCTTGTCAGGCATAGGCTTTGATTTGTCGACGGGACAATGCACTCCGGGAATTGGTGTTGACACAGTGGACGGTGATTTGCATCGGTGCGGGAGATCGACCTCGCTTATGTCCTCGGGAAGTTCCAGCAGAGTCGGAAGTGGGGGTTTCCGAGGTGAACATAAACACTTCTTTGTCTCCTTGTCGGACGCGTTTTGGCATGGTGCCTCGGTCCTCCTCGTCGTCTTCATCATATGATTCAATCTGACGCCCTGGTCCTCGTCTTTGGGGGTCGGTATTACGATAGAACTTTCTAAGCTGTGGGTGACCAATTAAGCATAACAGGGCTGCTAACAAACTTAAACACTCAACTGTGTTGTGCCCTGGCGATTTATGATAATCGCAATACTGGGACTTGTCCAATTTCTCCTCGGGCATCCGAAGTGGTTTGGGATCTGGTAAAATGCCCTTCCCTTTGATTTCTTCATATATGGTAGCTGCCCCTGCGGAATATACGGTTTGATAACCGGACTCCACATCGGTAGCATACTGTTTTCTGGCTGCTCGAACTTCAGGATCGTTGGGATCTCCCCGGGGAGGTCCCCTGAACTGGGTTTTGTTTTGTCTTTCAAAAAATTTGTTCTTCTTCTTCTCATCGGTTCCTGCCTTAGATGACTTCGGATTAAAGTTAAAGTCGGGGACCGACATGGCTTTCTCAGCTATAATATGTTGTTGAGCTCGGGCGAGAAATTCTTGAAAAGTGTTCGGCTTATTCTGACATAATGTCAAGCGGAAAATCGAATTCGGTTTCAGTCCGGAAATGGCCATGACAAGCAGGGTTTCAGGATGACAAGGCTCCATGTTTTGGACTCGGTCGTTAAATCGGGCGATATAATCCTTGACACTTTCATCATCTTTTTGAGTGACATTTGCAAGAGATTTTTTTGGAATTAAGCAAACTTGGGCTCCGATGAAATGGGATCGAAAAGCCGACCTCAATTGTTGCCATTTCCAAATAGAGTGGGGAGGAAGAGAATGGTACCATTTTTGGGCTCGAGGCCCCAGCGTGAGAGAAAACATACGACATCGAAGTGCGTCTGAGGCCCCATGCAGATCCATCCACGAAGTATAATGACCGAGGTGTGAGTCAGGGTCTGAAGTTCCATCATATAGACCAATTTGAGGGACTTTAACTTTTCCAGGTACGGGTTCCGAAGTGCGCTCCGGTGTAAGGGGGGAGTCTGCTTCTAAATACACCTGCGCCGAAGTTGAGGCCCGCCTAGGGGGGCCTTCGGGTACCCGCTGTCGGCTTTCCAGTTCGGCAATTCTCCATCGTAATGTTTCGAGTTCGGGAGTTTCTTGACGAGCTCGGTTTCTCTCAATATGTTGACGAAGATCAGTCGGCACTGGATCAGGGTGAATTTGACGTCGTGCCTGAGGTGGCGACCATCGTGAATGTCCCGACTGACTTTCGGCGGTTTCTTCGCGGGGTATTACGAGGGGATTACGTCCAACGTCGGTGCGACGTGTAGTTTGTTCCAGAGGCGGCTGCGATGCTCTATCGCGAGGTTGAGAGGTGGCGTGAGACGTAGTTCTTCCGCCGTCTCGTCGCACCAGTGGATTCTGTGGATTTGCAGGAGTCGTTGGTATTATAGAGTGTCCCGGGGCAGTTGTCGATGTTCCGGGGGATCGTTTGAGCCATCAGAGCGGCGAAACCACTTGCAAATTCCAGATTTTGAAACAGAACAGTGTAATCCGGTATAGGGGGAGCTACGGCTTGTCGTCTGGCGGATTGCGTAGCGCTGCGACTGTGGCCATCTCGTGAAGTATGACCACGATGATATGAGTGAGACATGATGGGTATGGCTGATGGGAATCGTTGTACGAGAAAGCAGAGAGTAACCTCAAATCACTTATGAGGCCCTCCTTCTAGCGCCAAACTGTTGTCGTATGATTCTTAACAACGATGTAATGTGGAGTTTATACGATGATTTCGAATGGTTTGGACATAAAACATGCAAGAAAAACTCAACAGTGGCCCCGGTCCGAGGTGGACCGAGGTGAAAAGCCTTTATGGGCTGCTCCGTGTTTCATTGTAAAAATGTTGGGTTCCGAATCGAATCCCTTACAAAAATCAGTGGCTAACTATTTATAGTAACCTTTTTTGATACACATATTGGGATTCGTGTGTTATTTTTTGAAAAAGCTACTTTTGACGGGCGGTTGAGTCAGTGGGCCCCTCGTGAATGATGACATATCTCGTAGATTGTGACGAGGGAGTGTAGGCGCCTTGTCACCTACTTTAGGAGGTGACGATTTCGGTTTATGTTGACCTCGGTTTGGAATGACCTCGGAAGGAATGAGTCACTTCGGTCTTCTTGAGTCGTATCGGCCTATTGCGCGAACCGGGATGACTTTAGGCTATATTTGTGTCTGAGTCAAATTCGCTTATAGCGCCGTTTAAGGTCCTTAATTACGCTTTACCGAGTCGGGTGATAACAACTACTTAGTCGAAAGAACCTGCGATTATTACTCGAAACATTTCCGCATAAAAACCGCATAACACTCGTACTATAACAAATAACATATATTTTTTTATATTTTTTATAAATTTTTAATTCTGCGACGTACAAAATTGCGACATACAAACGTCGCATATTTTTCGAAGAGTTGGTAAATTTTGGAAAATTTTTGTTCTTTGACTAAATTAATAATAAATTGAAAAACTGCTAGTACTAGGTGAAAAAAGGAGGTGCGTAACACTTTTCGAAATGTGTTCGCATATTGATACATTTATGCGAGGTTTATATGGATATGCAGTTCGTAAATATGCCAAACCAAATCGCATAATCGATAGTTATCTAGCCTTATAGATTTGGATATGCAAATCTTAAATTATGCGAACATATGCCGCATACTCCTAAATGATGTGTTTGATTGATCTAGCCTGGATATGCGATTAAAAAATATAAATTACTTTTATTTTCTCTTTACGTTATGCGATCACAATGCGAATTATCGCACTTTGTTCACAGTTCTGTGAAATTCTTTTCAATAATAATTTCCCTTCGAATATTGTCGCTGATTTTGCTAGGAAAACACTGTTGACAGACATTAATGGTTTCATTGTTCATGCAACATATTGTTTTGTTTTGACATATCAATCATCATTAAACACATACTTGACAGAAGAAAAAAAGATTTATTATTGTTGCAGTCAGTCCAACATATGTCTGCCTTCTGACGACACCTTTTGAAAAATATTTGCCACGGAAGCGGATCGCGATCTTTTTCATAGGATGAAATCATTTCCACTTTTTTTTTTGGCTGCGATGGAAAGATAGGGTTTTGAGAAGTAAAAAGTCGCCTGTTCAACAAAGAAAATGAAATGTTAATAAATACAGATAGCATTTAAGGCTAGGTAGATATACATCAAGTCGACAACTAAATGAGGAAGCATGCAAATCGTCATAGTTTTTTACGTGTAAAAGCAGACAATCAATCAATGCGGTGAGTAACTTATGCGAATAATATGCGAAGAACTTTCGATTTGGATATGCGGTGCAGACAATCAATCAATGCGGTGCGTAACGTATGCGAATATTATGCAAAGCACTTTCCATTTGGATATGCGGTGCAGACAATCAATCAATGCTGTCCATATGGATATGCGAAAAAATGGCGAATAGTCGTAAATTATGCGGCTTTCGATTTGGATATACGATTCGTTAATTAAGCGGTTGAAAACTAGGCGAATCAACCCAGTTGTGCGATTATTATGGGATATGATATGGGAATCGCAACATCAACCCAATTGTGCGATTATTATGGGACATGTTATATGAATCGCACAATCAACCCAATTGTGCGATTATTATGGGACATGTTATGCGAATCGCATAATCAACCCAGTTTGACTAATTTCTGTTAGTCAATCGTGTGCAGGTCACAACTTAGGGCACCAACATAGTATTTTTCCCGTTAAAAGTATTGTTTCCGGTAAATTGGTTTACAATTAAAAACTCCAATGAGGTACATAACATTACATAACGTCTCCATCTTCAGCTTAATTGTCATGGATTGGACGTGATGAACAAGATGACAAGTTGTGACCTGTTTCTTTACATGTATGAAATCTCCTCGGGCGTCTCAATGTTGTTCTTGGATGAGGAGTTGGTGCGTTTTGACCTTCTTCATTTGAGAAAAAGTCATTATCACCATCGTATAGAGGGCACTTCGCCCTGTTATGCCCAGTGATCCCGCACCATGAGCACATCTGCTGATGTCGTACTCGACGTGATGATCCTTCTCCATCAGAATAATATTGAGTCAGTGGCCGACTTGCTTGTTTGGGATCATTTGGCGGAATTAACTTTTTCCGCATAATTTCTAGGGGCAAGTGACATTCATCTGGATGCGGGACGTGGTTAACGGTGCTTTGGTACATCCTTGCAACTGAGTAAGTTTTGTAATGGTCATCAACGAAATCCATTATATCTAACCCTGCTTCCCTGTTACATATCGTAAATGCACATCATATTAGAATATAACAATTCTTTTTCTTTTTTTTTAAAGAAGAAAACGATAATGTTGTTTGGTAAACATTACCGAATGGCCGTAGATGCATGTAAGCAAGGTAGTAGATCTATTTCAAACACAAGACACTCACATGTTCTTGCCTCTAAATCTACCACGTAGGATCGTGTTTCTTCCATAACCTTATAACGTTGCATGCCGAGTGTGGTAATGGATAGAGTACGACCTTTCTCGAACAAATGATCCAAGCACAATTGAGTCCATTGCGTTAGCGGATGATTGCGAACCTCGGCGGATACATGCCGAAAACCAAACCATTTCTCTATCGTTGCTCGAACACACTCCAACAACGAGCAAATTGGTAACATCCTGGCCCAACGGAGTTTTTTGTTCAAACTTTTGGATGAATTGGATGTCATGAATCCATAGCGCCATACAGGTGTAAAACACCTCGCCCAAGCATTTACCGGAATTTCATTAGTTAGCTTTTTAATTGCTTTGGGTTTTAGGCTTTGGATGGATGACAAGTAACGATAGAAGTTTTCACGCCGATAAGAATATGCCGCCTTGTAAAATATGTCCAAGACAGATTTCCCAAAAGGCCTCATTTGTTTTGTGATGTGATAATAGCAAAATGAATGATGCACCTCGGAGAGCACTAATGGGACAGAATGTATGATAGACTCATGTCTATCCGATACGATGAGGAGGTTATCAGGACAACCATAGGCCCTTTTCAATTGACTCAAAAACCAACTCCAAGTCTCACGACGCTCTACATCACCAATGCCAACTGCGAGGGGAAAGATTTGGTGATTCCCGTCCAATGTGGCTGCAACAAACATAATGTCCTTGTATTTTTCCTTCAAGTGGGTGCCATCTATCACAATCATCGGGACACCAGCTCGTTGAAAGCCCTCAATGCTAGTTCCTAGAGCAAAGAACAAGTGTTGGAATACCTCGCTATCTCGTTGCAATTCGACAATTGTACCTGGATTACGAACCTGCAACATGTGTAAGTAAGAAGGAAGCCGCCCCCATGATTCTTAATGACCTCCATAAACTTTTTCAAAAGCATGGTGTCTTGCTCGGAGGTGTAGCTGATCGACAAACCATGCTCCTCCCGCATTTGTTCAATAATTCTCCATGTAGATACCGTCTGGGGATTTTTCTGAATAGTTGGTGCGTAAATATGAGCGAGAACCTTGGAATTAGCTGAACGGTTTCAATTGTGCGTTAAACTCCCTTCGCATGTACGCTCGAGTTTCAAAGTAGTATCTACATCTCGGTTAGCCCTTGCACATAACTTGTAAGAACATCCTTCATACCGATAAATAGATAGTAACCTAGAAGTGCAGGATTTGGGTGTTCGACACTCAACTTTTTGTTGCAAGTGATACAGTTGGATGACACAAATCAACTCTTCTTTCAAAAGAAGGACAGGGCCCAAAGATAATTCTATATTGTTCGAGGGTAAGTGGATGGGTTGTCTATCTGATCCAGTTGTCGTGGGCGGCATAGGAAGGGACCACATTCGTGGTTCAACGTCGGATTGTCGGGTGCTACTTCGATTCATATATGCAAGACTTTCAACTTCAATAGGGTAGGTAATTAATCTTAGTTCTTCAATATGCTCGCAATACCACACCTTGAAAAGCTTGTGTTGTTAATTGTGAATTAACAATGAGTTATCAACGCAAGTTGTATTAATTATCAACGAATTTCTCGTCTTTACAAGAGGGTAAAACATGTTCTTTTGAATGGGAAAGTTCT